TGAAAGAAAGAAAAATAATGCCCAAATCAAGTCGGATTTCCGGAACTGTCCAGCGGTGGCACGGTCCGCCATAATGTTAATGTATCTATTGTAAATGTTTGTATATGTAATGTAAAATGTATCTTTGCTTGGAAAGGCGACATATCCTAAGTTATAGAGTTCTGAGACAAGAGAAACGGAGATGTAAGGTGCGAATAGCCCCGACGTGTTCACGCCTTCACACCATTTTCTTCCTCCTCGTGTGTCTCGATTTTCGTTTCTTTCCTTTTTCGCTCGAACCAGTACTCGATAAGCTCGCCAACAGAGAAAAACAAATGGGTGATCTCGTATGGGATTCCTCCTTTCCTCTGACAAAGCATCAAAGAGCGACGAGAACGAAGAAAATAGCGAGAAAAGGTGTCAGGGCATGCCACGTACGTTTATGTACACATATACAGAATATATTGTATAAGTAATTGCAACTACTATGAACCATTATATGCGACATTGAAATTTGTATATCATGGATGAATTAAAAGGGGAAAATATCCTGAATAAGAAATCACCGAGCATATTATTAATCACGAACGAACTGTTAATAGCTATTCGAGCGTCATCCGATTAGATTACCGCGAAGCGAACACACGCACACACACGAACACACATGGTAACCTGGTTTCTATTTAACAGGGAAACAGGTACGTGCCACTAAAGCATGCTTCCGTCGACGTTAGTGTAGATGGCGAAGGGGCGAATGCTCGACCAGTAGGCTGCATGTTTAGCAAATTCACGTGGTTATGCGATCGTGACGTGTTTGGCCCGTCATCGATGAGTTTTGGAGCAAAAATTACGGAAATGATCTATGAATTACATTTGACGTACCGTGGTTACAACGGAAATCTAGGGGATATCTTAGGGCTTGTCATAATTGGACGTTTGTTCATGTTTGTTGATGATTTGAATGAATTTAATCGCGATGTTTCTGGGAGAACAAATGGGGCAATATTTTTAAGTGTTATAGATCTGCATTTATCAGACGATAAATTAAAAAAGGAAATTTTTTTTAACGTCGCATTCGATTTGAATTATAATATTACGTTTAATAGTAATTTAATTCAAAACCAACCATGCGAACGTAATTTAATGATTGTGTGTAACGGTAAAAGAAATATTTAAATATTTAAATTCATACAAAAAAAAAGAAATTATTATGATGAGGGTACGTAGTAGTAACACGAAAGTGTTGCCTCGCAAACTTGTCTTTGAACTATGCTAATATTAAATGTAATTAAACGGCAAGCTATCTAAGTTATTTTTTATACCGCTGCGTTTAATTCAGAGGAACGAAATTGACTTGGGAAATTTGTTACCGTTCCCCGAATAAAAGCCCATTCACTGTCCTGGAACTTTGTTCCGAAAATGGCATTGGTTGCCTCATAAAATTACCCCGGGTGCATTATTCATGAACGCGTCGTCCAAAAGTAGCGAATTTTACTAAATACGCCATCGGTGCTAGTGCTCACGTGAAGTCTGATTGAAAGATAAATGTTAATGACGGGATTTAGAGGGATTTGAATACAGAGATGAGAGACGCCCAGATGATAGGGGCGCACTGTTAAAAGTTAACCTAGGAATAGATTTTAATTTAACTTTTGTGTATACGAAAAGTTTTCTGCTTGCACTTCATGCATAATTCAAACGAACTTTCACGTGAACTTTGAGAGAGACTCTATAATACCTGTATTTGAATAATGAAAATACTTAACAGTTTGCCTAGTTACGCAATATTATCTAATAGCTACGGCTCATGGAATCGTACGCGTTCATGGCTGAGGCATTCTTGAATTTTTCATTTTCCGTTCTTGCGGCGACTCGGTTGGTGCCCTTTGTTGAAAACTTCCTGGCTCTACGTGAATTTGAAAATACCGCATTGTATCTGGAACGTTTCTTTGCTAACGGAAATGCTTCTTACAAATTTCTTTTCTGTCCTTCGGGAATGAACCCCCGAACTTTCCTCGACGTTAATACGTTCGCTTCGCGCAAACTGGCTTTCTCTTTGAAATTATTGAAACGCTCGACGTTGCACGTTTTCTGCATGCGATTTGAGTTGGTAAGCGTTACTATCAAATTATTATTGCATGCAGAGTAAATACAAGAGTAAATATAAAAGTGAGTAATTCTATTATTTCTATTCGTTTATCACAAATAACAGGAGTGTGCACTTGTCTTCTCTGATATCACTTTTCGCAATTTGCACATGGTTTAAAAGTAATTTTGTGTAAACGTATGTGTGAATAACTAATACTAACGAAAATTGTCGAGACAGTAGTAGCATTGCATTAACATTTTCGTATAGTTTTGTAATTAGATTGTAGAGTATTAATCAAATAGTTTTAGAGTAATTAAGGTACTCGTTATTATACGTTAATATATTAATAAAACACGTTATTCTTTCAAAATCGTTCCAAAATTCGTGTCGTAATTTTGTTTCAAATCCTTCGTCATTTCATAATGGAGTTTTTTAACAGTGCATCAATCGCTGCAATTTGTTTGTCCTACGTGTGTATATTCTCATGCCTTCAGTTTTCAATTTTACGTGTTTGTTTACCCACTTTCCTGGATCGAGCACAATTTCTTGAGCAATATCCTGTCTGTCAAATAAATTTCTTAACGTCCCACAGGTGAATATCGAGCTGTCTTTAGACGATGAAATTTTCAATAATGTCCCATTTTAGTAGCCAATTTAAACTACAAATATGATTTGTAACTGACGTCTAGCATTTTTTAATATAATATTAATCAGTTTAGATTTTCAATCGTGCTAATGTTTATCGTAGTGAAGAAGATCAAAATTGAATTCTCTGGAAAAAGATTACTTGTCACACCTGATGTGTCACGTGTCGCTTTATCCCTCTACTCCATAGCAGGATTCTGAAAACGTATTTAGGTACTTGGGGCTCTCCATGGGCGAGTTGCGGTGCGGATTTTCTCAGACCAGCCAACTACCACCAACTACCATCACCAACCACATCCACATCCACAACCACACACGTACAACCAATAAAAAAAGACCTATCCCTGATCGCTTCACCAGCACGGTGAGTCTTACTTCTCTATCGTTCTATAATGTTCCTATTTATGTCCTCTTGCTGAATGCTGCTTCGAGTCGAATAGCTTGAATCGTAGGCGATACGAACATGATTAGCTTCTTATGAAGCTAATGAAGAAAATGAAGCTTCTTATTATACGTTTGAATTTTCCTAAACATTCCTTTAATGCATTATTTGCACTCGCACTTTGCGAACATTAATTGTTGTAAATTAAATAATATTGTTTCACTTTCGGTTGTATTATGGTTGTGTACTTGAATGCACTATTACCTCTTATGATTATCGAAATTAGTATCTGCCTAAGTTCAGCTTACTTCGATTTATCGAATTGATTCTTCCCTGCTACAAGCTTTCTCACCCTTGTTCTTACAACTAGTGATTTTGCTTTTTTATTGTTTACTCGCACCTGTATAGTGCTTGCAATGGTTGTTCTACAAAAATATTGAATTTATTTTTTCTGTTGCAATTGGTGAACGGTTATGATAGCACTCTTTCATTTGCGCTTCGATGCTTGTTTGATTTACGAATTAATCGAATCGATTGAATTCATGACGTTAAAAATCAATATTTTTAAAGGTGTAAACGTACATGCTTTTTAAAAATATATCTAGATACAAATTTGTCACGTAAAGTAACGTACCGAGAATTATTTATTTTATTATTATTTATGAAAACATGTTACATATGTAGAATTCGCACGCGATTTTTTCAACAAATGTAGAAAATATGTCGTCGTCCATTTTTCAGCGTGCAGTTATTTCAAACAAATTTCATAGAAAATATCAGCATGCAGAGTAGATGTTCACGATATAGAATAGTTATTAAAAATACTTTATAGTTAGATCTGTCTCGCTTAATTGTATTGGAATATAATGCTGACCTGTATATTTACTCAAAATCGAGATGTATTTGCATTAGGGCTGGGCGAATACTTGTTTAGATGTCCATCAAATTCACGAATTGAATAACTCTCTATTCGCGGTGTAGTCGGTCATTTTCAATTACAACTAGTGAAATTAATACAGTAAAACTCGTTACGTTGTGAGATGTTTAATTTTCAATTCACCGAGGCCTAATTCACGTTAAAAATATGTTTATTTATATTTATGTATTATTAGTATAACAGTCATCGTCTATCCCATATATGTATGTATGTATACGTACGTAGTGTTAAGCAATATTTATGTTCAGCAAGGAAAACAGTATTTGCATAAAGTACACTGTCAAATGTAATGCCTTCAAACATACACAAAGAAACAAAATAACGAGCACAAAAACGTACTTATACGAAAACAAAACGTGTTAAGTAAGTAATGAATCTTTTATCGTAAGAATGATTGAGTATTGATTCAGACAGTTAGAGAAATTGTTGAAAGTAAAAGATTAGAAGTGAGTAATTTAGACACAGTGTTCACTTGAAACATTTTAAAATACTTATATTTTGAATGAAATATTCTAATTTCAGAACAGTTAAGAGACTGACCTGGCCAATTAAATACTTCCAGACAAGTTCATTAGTGTCTCAATTCATAGACAAGAATAACATACATGACACTTAATTACATTAATTAGGCAAACTGATACACATCATTCTCTTTGTGTTTTGTTGTTTGTTCAAATGGGACATTCTCTATAATACTTCTTCCATCAAATGTATCTGGTTCATCAAAGATCCCTGCGAAAAATTGCCAACACCATATAACATAAATCTCAAACAAGCAATAGAAATCATACTCAACTTCTAACGACTTAAACTTGCCACAGTGAATAAATCCATCAGTGTCATCCGTAAACCTTCAGAAACCACACGACTCACAACCGAACACAAACCAACAAACACAAAACAAGATGTCCCGGCCACGAGTCGTAGAGAGCTGACGTGAAACATCAAAAATGAATGTAATTTTTCAGAGTGTAAGCCGAACTGGTACCGCCACGTCGGGCTCTGCGTGTTCGAGTGTCCAACCACGACTTATGGCATTTCTGACGAGACCAAAGCAGTCTGCGCTCCTTGCCACTACTCCTGTCTAACTTGTTCAGGACCTTTGGACACAGAGTGCGTCACTTGCCACGAGGATGCAGAGCTGTCGAATTTCAACGACTCCCAGTGTATCCTCAAGGACCTCACCTGGACGATGCAGTCGACCATCTGGTTCTACAGGATGTCCATTCTATTCGCCATCAACTTGGGCGTGCTCATGGTCGCGGCTATTTACATGGCTGTCAACTGGTACTCGAGGAGCAGGAACTCGCTCATATACAGTTACAGTAAAGTAGCCTATTCGAGCAACGGTGACGCCCAGAAGGACGTCAACAGGTTGCAGGGGAACGGCTATATTTCCGACAGCGAATAATATTTGATGGATTCGAAAGTTGTGTGGTTTCAAACGAGAAGTGAGTTTTTATTGAGCCATTGGTACGTTTAAGGACAGATTTAACGAACTGGATGTTCCTGAGCAAAGTTGGAGTTTCAAGTTTCACTGAGCTACTTGGACGGAGACTTATGTCAGAAAATTGGTGAACTCACTGAACTTCGATCAAAGAGTTCAATTCGAGACACCCTGAAGTCCAGATTTATGTCCATAATTTAATGAATGATCGTGTTCAAAGAATCAAGAAATTGGAGAATCCCAAATAACTGAATATTTTAATCATCAAAATATACCAATGAATCCAAATCATACAGTTTCATTTAATACAACGTGAAGTTATGGCCTCTATGTCTAGAATTAAATGAGTGATCGAGTTCTCACAGGAAAAAATTAGAGAATGCCAAGTAACTGGATATTGACACAACTGACCCTGAATCACGTAGTTTCAACTGAGGACACTCTGAATTCGTGACGATGATGCTCAAGAAGATGCCGCCCTTTAGTTTAATACATTCCAACTTGCGATAGAAAGTGATTAATCGTCTCCCAGTGAAGACAAGTGCACAAAGACCGTGTGATTCAGTGCGAGCAAACGTGAATAAGAATTGTGGGTGTTGCTGACCGAGATAATGAATGTTAGTGATGTAGTGATACAAAAATAAACTCCATGTTCTTTATCTTAAAGGAAATCACGTCTTGCCAAAGGTTATGATCGAATAGGTGAGTCAAAAGTGTCCCTACAATTGGTCGTTTGAAATTGTATTTCGTTGACAATCAAAAACAGAAAAAGATGGAAAATTACAGGTTTGTATTAAAATTATTACAGCACTATGAATATATTTTAATAGTTAGAAAAGTAAAAAGATATTAAATGGACACTTTTGTCCCCCTAAAAATGAATGTACCCTTTGACATTGTTTTAAAAGCATTTGTGTGTGAGTACGACTTTAAAAGTTTAGATTAAAAATTCTTTGACTTAGATTTTGACTAAACTCCCTAATGATCAAAATCCTAATCGAGCTAAGTATGGCAAGTGTCCTACTTTCGACGTTGGCCCAGTCATCGACATGTGCGATTTTTAACAGTTTAAAATAAAAGCATTGTTCTAGTTTTATGAATAAATCTCAAAATTTTCTAAGTATATTCTAAGTAATTTTCTGCATGTCAGAATATTCTGTCATCATATGAATTGACGATTGCCGATAATTGGGACATTTACCTTAATTGTGGTACAAGTTATTGTATCGCGATGCAAATACGCTTACTATGTTTCCATTCTTCACTAACAAATAATAAGTCTTGAGCTTCTCGATGATCAAAACTAGAATAATTTCATCGCCTCAATTAATTGTAACGATTTGCATTGCATCCGAGTTCCTATCTATACCAAGCACGTTGTTATTGGTACCCAAGTGAAATTACTGTGTGATACTACCTAGGTAAATTACGTTAATATGTGAAATGTAATCAAGTATAACAGCATTTTCTAGCAGCCAAAGACTTTTAAAATAGTAAGGTCCACATCAAATTTTCTGAACGAAAACTTTTATCTCTAACAGATGTTGATAACAGGAATCAAAATTTTACTACCTCTTTAAAAAGAAAACAAACATTTTAACATCGTACAGTTTTCGAATATTTCAATATTCAACATGCATTCTTTATCAACTAAATGCTGTAGATACGTAAGAATATGTGTACTACCATAAAAATGATTGATATTACTGTAATAATGAACGAACAGCGTACAGTAAACATGATATTTTCGTATGTTAGCACATGTACACGTGCAAAGTCTGAAACGCAACAAGGAACAGCAATGTTAATTATTTTTGTTAACGTTGTAAAGCGAATAAAATATTAAACAGAAATTTTTAATTATTGAATGTGACTGAAACATTCTTTTTGCACCTTCACCTTAACAAATTTAATTAGATAATATTACCTATTCAATTTGTCTTCACTTTGCTTTTTTTTTTCAATAATTTCCATTAATGCAATTGGTATTTAGAGTTTAATGCTAGATTACGGGTTAATGAACATGCAACAAGTTGCTAAAACTGACGCCACGGGATAATAAAACAATGATACATGATTTTACTTAACCTGGTTGCATAAATTTATTATTAAAAATAACATTTTCACGCCTGTTATAAACTTTATAATGCGAGTTTATACTGTGAACAATTTTAATCGTAAACGCGATCAAACGAGTTGAAACGATTTCTTTACCTAAACGGATTTATTAAAGGTTCACTGAAATTGTCACTGGTCACGTTTACAGAATGCTATAGCGAAATGGTAAATTGCGAATGAGAGCCGCGGGAAATACATCGTTATAACATCGTATTCGCATATCCCAATGAAATGATATACGCACAAGCACTGCACGAGCAAATTAATTGGCGATAATTAACTAACTGTTGCGAGCAACCTTCTCAATTTGACCGACCTCTCGTATGTGTATCCAAAACCGCATTATCGACAACGATGCCTAGTGCATAAGTTAACGATGGGAATCATTGATTCCTCTCATGCTCCCCTTAACCGCGATCATACTGAAGCATTAAACCAACAAAACTGCACACAACCCTTTCACCTCGATGAATGTGTAATTGGCTAATTTGTTCCTTCTTCTTTTTTGTAAATTTTATTCATTCTTTTCTACATAAAATAGAAAAAAGAACGAACAACCTGACATTCACTTTAAAGATTTACTAAAAGTTTAGAAATTTTTTTTTTAATGAAAGTACATTTGGAGCTAATATCAGGAAAATTAAAAGACGTTGCCTGATTCTTCTCAAAGTGGCTCCAGATTTTAATAGTATATATTTCATGGAGATAGGTTCAAACAGCAGAATGTCAGTTTCTAATTATAATATGATGTATCGCGTGTGCGCAATCAATCTGCATTTATTAAATCAGCCACAAATTAAACAGAATGTTCGATACGTGATGCATTGTGATGTATCGTAAAGAAGCTATTCGTCAAAAATACGTTAATATGTAATAAATGTCATAATAAATTGATGGTATCACAGGCCAGGTTAAATATTATGGCTTTGTATTTCATTTTAAAGCGTACCAAAAAGTGTGATCGCAAAGAATCGCGCTAAATGCGTAATTAACAGATGTCTGACTACATACGGGGCTACTTCACTGCGAGTGCACATATGTAGTTCGATTCTATTCGATTTAAAAATAAACTAATGATATCGTTGAGCAAACTACAGATTTTACTTTTGTATATCCAACTCTCAAATTATACCAGAATTGGTATCATAAAGTATAGTACTAAGTGCGCAAAGACGTCTGATCACGTACGTACCTACTTCACTGCGACTGCAAACACAGTTCGGCTCCGCTAAATTTAGAAATAAATTAATGACATCGCTGGGCAAACTAAAGACTGCTTTCTTCTATCTAATTTCCGAATGTACTAGAATTGGGATCAGAAAGAACCTCGTCGAAGACGTCCGACGGCATACGTGCCCATTTCACTGCGACATCAGACACAGTTCATTGGCTCCATTAAATCTCGACATTGATTGTCCGCGGTGCGCGTTTAAACAATGTATTACCGTTTCCAATATTTCCTGGTATTACAGGTCACCGAGGAATTCGGTTGCAAATGTGGCACGATTAACCTGCTAATTACGAAACCGTCGAACAAAGCGCGCCGAGTTTCGCCGATCGGCCGGAGTCGTTCAAAGCACGTGGAACCAATATGAGTTTAATCCGACAACCAATCTCTCTCGAAGGGAATTAAACTCTTTTCAGCCCCGACCGGTGACATTTTCTCGTAAACGTTCCGCGCAACGTTAAGATCGCTTTTCCCTCCTGAGCAACAACGCTCTCGTAACTCCGGTTCGACTATATTTCCATTTTCAATTTACCCCCCTCCTCTCCCCCTCCCTCCCCCCACCGCCCCACTCGGACAGTTTACGGTTCCCTGCTTCGGCCGCAAAAAGTAGCGTGGCACCAGCACTCGGGGAAAAGGAAAACAGTTTGCTTATATACAGTTCTCGCGTACCACCGCGTCCCCGAATCTCAGGCTTAAGGATTGCAGCGCGTTTTCACGGGGAACTGTTTACGAGAATCGACGTAAGTCTCCTTGGATTAAGGTTAGACACCGATGCACACCGACTGGCTGGAACATTTTTACTTCGCTCGGACGTACACCCGCAGGAAAGACTCGATCCGGTGCGGAGGGGGAGGGAGGGGGTTGTGAAAATAAGCTGGTTGGTAACGCTGCCAAATGACCTTAAACTCCTTTATACTCTAACGAGAAGGAAGCAAGGGAGGGTTTCCGTGGATGCGACGCGACACATAACAAGCGTTACAAACGAGGAGGATTTTGCAGTTTGAAGACAGCTAGTTTGTTAAAAAGGATAAAGAAAGGTGGAGTACGTTCTGTATAAGGTAATTCCGTAGGTAATAATTATCTCGGATTTGTAAGGTTTTTTTTTGTGATAACCATATGACTATACGAGAATATATTGAGAAACTCATGTAAACGTTCAATTGTGTTGTACTTTCATCGTAGAGGAAGATATCTGCAGGGACGAAATAGAATATACTTCCTTTGCATTTTGTAAAGAACTTGAAAGGTAATTACTGTACATTGAATCCTGAGGGCAAACAATGAAAAAACATGTTATGTTTAAGAGATCGTATTACTGGGGAACGACTGTGATACTTCCATAAAAATAATTATGCTTAATGTGTTCTTCATTATCCCTTCGAGAAAGTGTAACGTATCAGCAATTTGTGCTCTTCTCGCAATTTTTATCTGATACGACACCTAACTAATTATTTGAATATGAAAAAGAACATTCAATGGAACATGTACATAAAGATTTCTATCTATCATAGTGATCAAAGCTTGCCTGCCAAGAATTTCCAAGCCATTACATTTACAGCCTTGTTTAAAGTAATATACAATTCATACTGTGAACTTACTATTATTCTTTCAACGTGTTGAGTCTGCAAGTAGACTCTTATATTTGCCAAATATAAAGCTCCACGAATCTTTTAAAGGCTAACAGCTCCCATTTTTCGAATGGAAAAATTAAAAATAATCAGAATTATATGCTTGGTCCTTGTGCAGTTATCCCAGGTCCCATACACCGAAACTCGTTTGGAAAATAAAGTATACCTCCGTCGAGAGATGGAGTTAATTGGAAGATGAAATACCTTGCGTTTGTACGTCCTACTTTTCGCCGGGGTGAGGTGATAGGGGAGGAGGGTAGCCGCTTTCCTTGCGAAATCTCGTTATCGTCATCGCTTGGAAATAAGCTACGTGAATGATTTCAAAGAGGACACTGTATATATACTTGTTCGCTTTCCAGCGATGATATACCTCCCGCTGTTGAAATTTGGTTTCGTGCCAAACGCCCGTGTACTCGGAGACGACTCCGAGTATTTACTTTCTTCTTATTTCATGTCGAGATTCGGATCGTGAGAGAACGGACCAAAAGAGGGGGTGGATGGCTACGGGTTGAGGGTGAGGGGGAAGAGTCAAAGGAAGGAACGAAAGGAAGAAAGAAAGAATAAGAGCTGCCCGTGACGCCGAAACTTCCCTCCCCTGTTCGGACTGCCAGAGCTTTAGAGCCGCGAAGACACAAAACTCTCATTTGTTTCACCACCGACGAGTAAGTTTCTTCTACGTGCAAAAATTACCGAGCGGCGAAATATCCCGCACCTGGAAACGCCACGTTGGAAACTGCCGCTACGAGAACCGTCATAACCAGCTTTAAGAAAGTTTTACCGCCGAGCTTTGCGTATCTTTGTCAGTCACTTTCCATCGTACTAATGCTTCAAGTTTTCCGGGATGACGTACAAATTGGAGTACGTCGAGTGTACGCAGCAGGACGGCGTAACGACGTCAACTTTTAATAATCAAATTGGAATAGTTTCGAAGAAGCTCGGCTGGCAGCTGGGCGGACAAGAAACACAAATTAAAAATGGTCTCAATCGGACTGGCAGACTCGAGAGTTCAGTTTTCTTGTAATTCTTTGGTTATATTTTTTTCATTTTAGATGGAATGGGTATGGCGAAAGTAATATTATCTCATTTATTTTCTAATATTTCGTCACAAATGTTTTTCATATATTTCATATATCTCTGAACTTTTCTATCGGAACGATCCCATAGTTCACATCATCTGTGTTTCATTAAGAAACAAAATCCTAAATGTACCTTCCTGAATGCCTGTCCCTTTTTACCAAACGTAAGCAACTCGTAATAAAGCGCAAAGAATCATATTTCCTCTTTTTGCCACCATATTTGCTAACAGTCCCGCCGCGCCACACCTAATCGACGAGAAAGAATCTACGATACTCGGGACAAAGGGCAGAAAACAAAAAGCAACCAGGAATTCGACATTAATCATTGATAAATTTTCTCAAAACGTCGAAGCTCGCAATAAATGTCGCCTCGTTTATCTTTCCCCGTTCTTTTCGTACCATCTGGTCCATAAAACTTATCAGTTGCCATTAACTGCATCGTACCTTCCCAGTCGGAAAAAGCATACAATCGGTGGAGGTATCCCGGGGAGGTATGAATTAAACGAAATCGTGGATGCACGAAGTGATGTAGCATTGGAAATATTTCCATTTAAACGCGTTGCTTTTAGACGATTTTTCAGATTAAAAATGACGAATCAATTACTTATCAAGAGTCTTCTTTTCACTTTTTTCTCATTCATACGATACCTAAATATTTCAGGGCCAATTTATCGACTTGGTGTTAATTTAAAAAAAGACTATTTACTACAAACCCAGACCTAACTCAGGATGGCACAAGAAAAATGATAAAACCAGATTCGTTTCAAGTATCAAACCGATTAAAAACTGTTTGAACGATTAACTCGAGGTCAACAGAC